TGGTTGGAAACCCAGAGGGGGGCAGAGTGCTATGGATGCTCAGAGCCTGGGGAAAGGGCTTAGGGAGGGGATGGCAGGTCAGGTCTATGGGGGAAACAGAGGCTAGGGAGGGATTCAGGGTTTGGTGTGTGGCTATTCTGGGAAGTGACTTCTCTCAAGGCAGGGTGCGGACAAGACTAAGTGATCCATGGGGGATGGCTGTGACTCAGAGATGAGATACGCTCCCTGCCCCATGACCCCTGCCCAGCCCCTGGGGACTGGGCAGCAGGTATAAGCAAGGAGCAGGTTGGAGCCCTGAGCATCCAGGGGGTAGGCCCAGAGTGAGTCTGGTTCTAGATCCTTAGCCTCAGAGGCTAGCAGTGGGGCCCATGTGGGGGCAGAGGACCTGTCATGGTCTCCCACCCAGTCCTCCTGTCTAAGAGAGGCAAGCAGAATAGCAAGAAGACACCTTCTAACCATGTGGCTGAGGAAAGACACACAGATGTGGGTGCAGAGCAGACATGCATACACTGTGAAAAATCATGGCAGGGCAGGTACACAAGGACTTAGATGGAAGTACAGATACCCAGGAAGCAGACAAATGCTATACGCTAACACTTGTGAGTCCAGCTCCCACACACAGGTCCCACATCTTCTGACAAAGCAGTGTCATTAAAGACACACACAAGCTTAACCCTCAACAGTCTGGGCTTGGGCTGACCTTATTTAACCCACTCCTGGTCTCCTGGGAGGTGGCTCCTGGGAGAGGCCTGGCCAGTTCTCTTGGCAAGTGGGGGTGAGAGGTTGTGGAAAGAAAGAATGGGGGCAGGAAGCCATCCCAGGCTAGTAGGGAGCTGCTATGATGGAGTCGGGTCTGCCCAGACCAGGAGGCCTTGGGAGCTGGTATAGACCGCAGGCTGGTCAGGGTCAGAGAAAGGTGCCCGGAAGGGAGCGGGTAGGCGGGCAATGTCCAGGCCCGGGATGTGGTCAGGCCACAGGCAGCTGCTTCCCAAAACCAGAATAGCCCAGGCCTTACACAACCCGCACCCCAAACAATCTGGTGGCCTCCCCCTGCTCTTGCAGGCATCCCAGTCCTTTATACTTC